TTTTAAACTATGAAGTCAGAAACCTGTTGACACATTTCAGACAGGAAAACCATAGAGTCATAATTGTGTTGTCCTTACTTAATAGTTTTTCTCTTTTGCCAAAGGTGCCATGTGTCCTGAGCAGAACTGGTGTCTATTTGGTTTTTCCTTTATGTGGCTGTGTCCTTGGGCAAAATATTTTATTTATGTGTGCCCAAGTGTTCTCCTTTTTGCAGTGGGGTTGGAAGAAATAATATCTACAGTCTTACCTTAAAAGATCTATTCTCCGAAGATATATATATCTTATATATATATCTATATATATATAAAATATATATGCAAATGTGATTTCAAAATTTAGAAATTCAACAAAAATGCATATTTAAATAGTCCAAGCAAATCTTGTCTTTACTTTGAATTCGTTGAATAACCTTAGATACAGTGGTGTGCTGGCAAGTGTTTAACAGCAGGCTCTCTGGGAGAAGAAAAATACCCTGATTTGTAGTGCTGATTAATTTTCATGGTATAAATACTTCTATTATAGCAAAGTTCAATTTACCAATTTGCTTGTGCACTTCTCAAATATCATCTACAATGGGTCTGTATAAGCCTACACCAGCACAATGTTGCTCAGATACATTGATTAACCTCATCCGCTTCAGTTTCTCAACTTATTGGAATATCTGTTTGACTAAATCCATACTCAAGTACATTTCCTCTTTATGAGTATCTTATGTTATACTTATCACTCAGATAATCTTATATAAACTCATTTTAATCATACAGCTTTCACTGAAAGGTGCATTGCAGTGATCAACTGTTGTAATGACACTTCTTCTTCATGCTATGACATGCCTAGTTGGCTAATTGATATTCAATTGATATTCAGTTGCATTGGTTTACTTTCTAGTCCTGTAATATTTCTATCCCTCATGTGTAATGAACTGTTCTGGTGTTATTTTAGGTAAGCATTACCCAAATCTCTCTAACATATGTATATTTAGATGTAGATATTTAAAGCAGATGACTGCTTCCTTGAGCTGGTATAAGAAAGCCCCTCAGATTGCTGAAGGAGAGTCAATCTCACTCAGTTTCCTTATATCTCTTTGTGAATTATTTAAAAAAAAAAAAAAAAAAAACCAAATGCCTCTCAGTTAACAAAATGTGAGGTGTGTTTTCTAACAGCCCATAAAGCCATCACATCTACTTCAACCACACAGAGAGCTCAATGATAAAAAATAATAATAAATCAGGAATGCATCAACTGTCCTATTGGGAGTAGGGCTGAATTCTAAATTGACCTTGACTAGATCATTACTTTTCTTACTAATTGGTGGTCTTCTCTTGAGCTTTCTTGGTTGCAATACGTAATCTTTCTGTGAGTGTCAACTTTTGACAGCACTGGCTTGACATGAATGCAGCTAGCCAGTGAACAGAATAAAAGTGGTTAAATTGAAGAGCCAGGATGTGGAGCAGTAGGCTCTGCACTAAATGGAAGCCTTTAGGAAGGGGCAGCTGGTCATGACTTTCTGCTATCACCTCATTTCCTGGGGCATGTTATGCTTGTTTGGCTGTAAAGTATGTCAACTGATATTTGTTAAATGACATTATGTACACGGTTATTCATTGCAGAGTTGTTTGTGATAGCAAAAGTTTGGAAATATCATAAAAGTCCATCAGCAAAGGACTGGTTAACTGAACTATGTTGCCTTCATTCAATGGAATAGCATATAGCTGTCAGGATAAGAGAATGAATAAGTTGTTTGTATTCTGATATGGAAAGATCTCTTTAGAAGTGCACAATATTGACTTTAGAAGGCTATCTTGTGTATAGAAAAAAGCACAAGAGCATGGTAATATTGGTTACCTCTAGAAGGAAACTGAGTCCTAGGAAAAAGAATAGAAGGAAACTTATCATATGCCTTTTACATCTTTAGCATTTTCAGTGGGCAGTGTGTCTTAACTATACTAACACATACACTCACATACACACTTTTTCCCTCATATTTTTAGAAATAATTTTTTGTTGAGGGGAAAAATACATAATTATTTTAATCATCCATAAAGGTATAATTCAGTGGCACTAAATCCATTCACAATATTGTGTACTCATCACCACTATCTATACCCAAAATATTTACATTATCCCCACAAAAAACTCTGTACCCATTAAATAACTCCCCATTCTCCCTCCCCCCAGACCCTGGTAACCTATGTTCTACTTTCTGCCTATGAATTTGCCTATTCTAGGTACTATATATAATATACAGTATTTGTCATTCTGTGCCTGGTTTATTTCACTCTCCCACATTTTTTTCTGTAAAAAGATGTATCAGCTGGATAAAGTTGTGAAAGTCTGAAATGTCTTTCGTGTCTTTAGAAACAGAGAGAACAGATCTTGTGAAATGTGCGGACGTGCCTTGAACAAGGTAGCTCATGTCTGGTGTTTCCTAGAAATCTCACTGTAAACTTTAAAAGGTTAACTAGTTGCTCAGCATGTTAATACTCTCTTAATTTGGAAAATGAAGTCAAATAGCCACCGTTTCCCACAAGCCTTGGCTCATATATGGCAGGGTTCTTTAACCAGGGGCCCTATGAAGTCTACAGAAAGTCCATGAATCTTTTCTGAAATTATACACAAATTTGTTGTGCTGTTGCCTCTCTGGAGAGTTCTTTAGCATTCAGAGATTTCCAAAGTGGTCCATGATTCAAGAAAAGGCTAAGTACCATAATTAAATGAAGTAATTAATGCTGTCCTCTCCCTTGAAATATACATAAAACTAGTTGTACATCAACTAGTTCATCTAAGTACATGATTAATGAACCCACACCAAAAGATAAATCTCTGAATAGGCTTTACAAAATAAGTCTGTGGCTTAATAAAATAATAATTAGAATTTCTATACTTACTAAAAATAACATGACACATTTGATTTGGTGGCACACAAAAAAGACCAAATAAAGGTACATGAATACAAAATTATCATGTAAGGAGGTTGAGACTTTTTTTTCATTCATTTCATAAATATTGAACACCTACTATGTGTAAGGATAGGCTAAGTGCTCAGTACTCAGCAGTAAGTGACATAGTGTCACAATGTCTCTACTCTTATGGGACTTCATTTCTATTAGTAGGATTTAGACAATAAAGGAGTGAAAAAAGAAATGACACTTTCAGATTACTATAAGTGCTCCAGTGAAAGTGGATAGAGAGTGCCTGGAGAATTTTTTAAAAAATTTATTTTAGAGATAGGGATTCACATCCCTTAGGCTGCTGGAGTGCAGTGATGTGATCATGGCTCACTGTAACCTCAAATTCCTGGGCTCAGTTGATCCTTTCACCATAGCCACCCGAGTAGCTGGGACTTCAGGCATGCACCACCACACTGCTTATTTATTTATTTATTTTTTCAGAGATAGGGATTGGGGTCTCAGACCAGTTTGCTGGACTGGTCTTGAATCCTAGCCTCAAGTGATCCTCCCACCTCAGCCTCTAAAAGTTGTGAGATTACAGGAGTAAGCCACTACCCTGAGTGAGATTTTACTTTTAGGTAAGGTGGTTGGGGCACTCTTTCTGGAGAGATCTTTGAGCTGACATCTGAAAGACAAGAATGAGCCAGTCTTTAAAGAACTGGGAAAGGGCATTCCAGGCAGAGGAAGCAACAAGTGCCCAAGTTCAAGCCACAGGTGAGATGGGAAGTACTGAGTGCTATGTTGTGTTGGGAACATCTGGCTCTAACTCTTCCTTCACACTTGGGGCTCAGTCCTTTTCTAGCCTCAGGGCTTTATTCCCTTTCACATCCTACCCATCTTTTAGCAACCAGCATGATTCTAGCCTTTAATGCTTTCCCACTTTTCCAAAATCCACTTGAGTCCCTGATGTCATCACTGTCTTGATGTGTGCAAGCACCTCACTAACTCACATGAACGTTGAGCTGCAGGAGAAGCAGCATGTCTGCTCTTGTGAGGACGAAGAACGCTTGTTACAGGCTGGAGGGATCAGGGCCAATCACAGAGGTACGGAGGGTGGTGCACCATCTGGGCTGAGCCTCACATTCACAAGAATCCTCAGATTTACATTTTGCCATGACTGTCACACATAGGATACTACTTCATTTGTGTGTGTTAAAGGTGCTATTTACTAAATGTTCCAGAATAATAATGCATAAAGCATATAACTGTACCAGTTTTTCTTGTAGTTGTTATAATGACATACACAAATATGAGAAGAGGCCTGGGCTTTTTTTTTTTTTTAACCTTGAAAGGCCCAAGTGAATTTGAGGATTGCTTGAGATTAAATCCTGGCTTAAGGCCTAGCTCTATAATATCGTGACTAGACAATTTTTGGCAAGTTTCTTAACCATGGATAATGTCTACATGTAGAGAGGAATTGGATCCCAAGATGGACTGTAACAAGAATCTTCCCCATACCTAATTTAGATGAGATCTGGACAAGATTTTTGGATTTTTGAGTTGGTATTGTAATGGAATGAGACTCTGGGGATCTTGGGAATCTTTGTTTTTTTTCTGCATATGGGATGAACATGACTTATTGGGGGTGAGAGTAGAGTGTGGTAGGCAGAGTGGCCCCCAATGACACCCATATCTAATCTCCAGAACCTAGGAGTATGTTACCCCATGTGGCAAGAACACCCCAACTTTACAAATGTGTTTAAGAGTATAAACTTGAGATGGAGACATTATCACATGAGTCTCTCAGAGTAGAAAATGGATGAGATGGACTAAACCTGCCATTGCTGGCTTTGAAGATGGAGGAAAGAGCTCCAAGCCAAGGAACAGTGGCAGCCTTTAAAAGAGGAGGGGCAAAACCCAAAACCCAAGTAAACAGATCCTACTCAGAACCTATAGAAAGGAGTTCAGCGCTCACAATATCTTGAGTTTAGTGCTGTATAACATTCAGACTTCTGACCTACTGAGCAGTAAGGTAATAATATTTACATTGCTTTAAGTCACTAGGTTTGTTATAGCAGCAGTAGAAAACCAATACAGTATCTACTTCATTAGGAGTTTTTTACATTTTTATTAGTATATTGAAATATCTTATAACAATGCCAGTATATGGTAAGCATTCAGTAAGTATGAATATCCTTCTCAAAGATAAGAAGCTAAGAAGTAAATAATTCTGAGATATAAACACCACAATCAATGACCTACAATAGAAACTATTTTCAAAATATTTTGCTTCCTAATAAAGTTTAGAGATGATAAATTCTATTATGACACATATTCCTAAGAAAATGGCCTAGAGCAGGAGCAGCAAATTCAAATGCTTATGTGGGCTTTGCAGGTAGTAAATAATGGAAGCAGGTGAGTTGGAGATTACAGCTGACTGAAAAAGCGCCTCACTTAAGGGGCAGACCCTAGCCTAGCTAGCTGAGGCCAATTAAAATGTAGTGCAGACCCAGTGTTCTAGATCATTCAAATTCTCAAGAAGCTAAAAATCCCTATCTTCTTCCAGGAAACCTCTAGTTTTTAAATGTTGAAAACCAATTCACACTTAAACACATACAGATACAGACCCATAATTGTCAGGCAAAACTGATTATGTCATGAGCCACACTAGAGCCAGAGACCCTCAGGTTGGTATTTCTGGTCAAATAATGAAGCCCAAAATGGTAAGTTGCTTTTGAATGCATTTTTTGGCCTTCGTCATAAACTTACACCATAAAAGAATTTTCGCAGTGCTTTTGTTAATCTAAATCTAAGCATCTATGATTTATGTGGCTTTTTATCATGTTAATCAGAAAGACAACTTTGAACTGTGTTCAAATCCAGTTTTATTAAAATTATTTGGAAATTTTGGTAGCAGTACAAAGTCTTTGACTATGACTATGGAATACAGACACAAGTTTGTTTTGGTTTGCTGTGGGTTTGGGAACGTGTACATTTCTAAACCCTCTGCCCTTCATTTCATTACCAAATGGCAAAGCACTTTAAGTTCCCCTATTATTCATAGAAAAGGAATCTGTAAAATGAGATTGAAAAAATAAAGTTCAAAGATTCAAAAAATTCTCTTCAAATATTAAGAGCATACAAAGCATATTAAAGACATCTACATTTAGTCCTCCAGGTAACAAAGCAGTTTGTGGTTTCTTATTTTTACTTATTGCTAATTACAGTCAAGAGACCAAAGTGTTTCCCAAATTTCTAAAAACCCTCAGCACACTCCCAGTACAGTTTCAGTGAAATTAGAAGATAGAACCAGGAGAGCATTTGATTTAGCCTTTAAAAATCACATGACTTTTTTCTTTCTGTAGTAGCTCAGGGCTCGATTTGCTTACTTAATGCCTTATAATTAGTATCTGCCTTACAGTAGATCTAAGTATCAGCTTATTTAAGTATAATACTGGACAGTGAGTGATGGGTGGCCTTCCCGTCCAAGGCAAACATACAGTGAACCTTAAAGTAAAACCTCAGAGAGTTTAGTACTCCTTAGTTGTTCTCCAGTGAACCCGAAGTTGTCTGTAAGAAAGAAAAAAAAAGAAAGCTCTTCAGAGAGACATTTTAGCATGTTCTAAGTACTCCTGCTTTTCTAGCAATGTATGAAAGCTCAGCTAGGCCAATAGAGCCTTGTTATTCTCATCACAGGAACAAAACATCTCTTAGGGTTTAAAAGGTAGTAGACAAAGATGAAGCAGAGCAACAACTTGAGAAAATTCTTATTTTCATAAGATTCATGTGGATTGTTTTCAGTCTCTGTTTTCATGCATTCTCTATTTTTGGACATTCCAATGACTAAATAAAGATTATTTCTCTAAATGACCAACTTATTTCATCAGAGGTAAAAGGCTTCCCTACCACATTAGTGTTGGCTGCCTTATTTGTTTTAGGAGGAAATGCTTGTTTCTAAAGGAGGAACATGTTAGTATAATCTATTCTTCTTTATTTATTTGTGGTCTAACAGACATCACAACTCAAAAAGCAAACTTGGGGCCAGGTGCAGTGGATCATGTCTATAATCCCACTTTGGGAGGTTGAGGTAGAAGGATGGCTTGAGACCAGCCTAGGCAACAAAGTGAGATCCTGTCTCTACAAAAATTTTTTAAAAATTCGCCAGGCATGGGTGCATGCCTATAGTCCCAGCTATTCAGGAGGCTGAGGCAGGATGATTACTTGAGCCCAGGAGTTTGAAGCTGTGGTGAGCTGTTATTGTGCCACTGCACTCCAACCTGGGCAATAAGAGTGAGACCCTGTTTCTAAAAAAAGAGAAAAGGAAAAGAAAAAGCAAACTTGACAAGTTTCTATAGCTGTATCATCAGCACAAGGTCTCAACCTTACAAAGGATAACTATGCAACTTACTTGTGTTTTCCCAGTAAATTAGATCTATGAATAGTAAGTCAGCAATAGCAGTTTTGCCAAATAATATAGGTTTCACTCTTATTTCCCAAATAGATGAAGAGAAAACATTTTTTTTGGAACAAGTCTACATTTTGAAATTTCTTAGTAAACAATTCTTAGCACCAAATTTAATTTTTGTTCTTATAAATTGCAAATCTAGTCTTCAAAGTTTAAGAAAACAAGATCTATTAAAGCCTTTCCTGAGTTGAGGTTCATCTCATTTGTCAATTCAAGACTACTTAAAACTTAAAATAGTCAAATATTTAGAACAACAAAAAACGTATACAGTGTAATGGTGCCAACCCACCAAGCATTTAAACCTAGGAGAGAGAAATGATACTCACAAATGGAGTTCTGATCCCAAATTTGCTATGGAATGTCATGGTGACTTTGTTTTTATGTCCTGTTCTTTGATCAAAGGCATGGCACATATCAAAAGGTGGACTGTACAAGTGAAGGCTCACGGCAGGTTCCGTATGGCTGATGTTCTCTACTCGGTGCAGGCCAATGGAATCTAAACAATAGCAAGAGGGAAGAACAGGTGAAGGAGCCTGGATGATGGGTAAAATGTTTGTTAACCTCCTGAGATCATGACTCAATTGTGATACATAGGAAACTAACAGAAATTAGTAGGAATTTTTGAACTTCTAGTTAAAGACAGTAAGAGACACACAGGCATTAGCTTTTGTTCCTTTTTGAAAACCCAAATGCAGTAAAATAATTAAAAAGACATCAATATACAAAGAAAATAGGAAAAGAAAAAAACTCATAAAAATCAAAAATCTTGAAAGTTAGATTTACAGAGCAAAGAAAGCTAAGCCAACCATGGGGAAAGCCAAGAAATAAACTGATGTGCATCTTGAAACTCCAAAGAGCTTAGGAATTGGCAGCACCAGGTACCTCTGGAAATGAGGATGAAGATGGAGCCAAAAATACAAGAACTGTTTGGAAGTCTATTTAAGAAGTAGAGACTCATAACCCTTTTGCCAGTTCTTCCTCCTCTTTTCCCTCAGTAGAGGACTGAGATCTAGTGTCTAGGGATTGTACAATAGATCAACTTGGGACTGGTGGGTATCAGGAGAAGAACAAGTAAACTAAACAAAAATTCACATACAGAATGGTAAAATCCCTGCTTTAGTTACCACCTAAATGTTACCAGACAGGATTTTTTTCTCTAGGCAGGAGATGGGAAGAGCTTCTCCGAGAATCTGATTGGCTCAATAAAAAGCCTTAAAGATACTGTACCGGGAGTTCCTCAAGGAAAAGGCTCTGCCAGAGCAAAATCCAGTTGACAAGCCCATCATGTGTTCGGCAACCAATTATCCTTTTTGTCCTTGGTTTTTAAATATTAGCACATAGCTAGGACGACCAGACATTTCAGCAAGGCCTCTAGTACAAAAGACAGAGGCCAGAGCAAATTGAAAAGCAACCTGATACAGAGACTGCTCAGGGGAAGAATTCAGTGTAATTATTGTAGGCATCCAATGTGGCCTATACTTTAAGAAGAACGAAGTCTAGAGGCAGAAGACTTAGATTCTACTTCTGACTAGAGGGACTAGGTAAACTACCTTTGAGCAAGTCGTAATTTCTAGAATCTTCCCTCTTATTTCTAAAACTGGGGCCTTATTCTCAGATTTGCAAACTCTCTGATACTATAGCTTGTAGATTTCATAACATACTGGCTTAAGCACAATTTTGAACACTGCAGGTACACACACTGGCCAATGCTTGCTGGACAATATTGAAAGTAAAGACCTTGCAAAAACAAGTCACCCATCTTCTAGAGAAGTCCCTGGTTTTTCGTTTTTGTTTTTGAGTTGGAGTCACTCTGTCGCCTAGACTGGAGTGCAGTTGCCACTCCCGGCCACCGCAGCCTTGACCTGCTGGGCTCTGGCGATCCTTCTGCCTCAGCCTTCCGAGTAGCCGGAATTACAGGTATGCGCTACCACGCCCGGCTGATTTTTGATTTATTGTAGAGATGAGGTCTTGCTGCCCAGGCGGGTCTCGAACCCGCGGGCTCAGGCAATCCACTCACCTCAGCCTCCCAAAGGTGCGGGATTACAGGCTGAGCCACCGAGCCCGTCAGCCCCTGTTTTTTTTAACAATCCCAATATTATTAATATATTTTGATCTTTGCCTTTTTACCCTTTATGTTCATGATATACCTTGCCATAGTAATACTCGACTTTTCTTGGCCTTTTGCTCATTATATTAGGCAACTTAGTCTCCTTGCTCCAATTCTCCCCTCTTCATCACCCTATTTGCACACTGCTACCAAATCAATCAAGATATTCCCAATTAGAACTCTGCTGACCAAAGAAAGCCCTTACTTTAAAGCTGGTCTTAGAGGCCCAGGCCTTGATCTTACTTTGTTCTCCTGCTACTCCCCTGTCCAAGCCCATTCTTCCTTCTCCCCCAATTCCTAAACAGTTTCTATATTTTGCAACAAGTGTGCCTTCACTCACACTCTTCCTTGTACTTGAAACATCCTTCCCCCTGATCACTTATCCATCTTTACCTCCTACTCTTCCATCTGTAAAAATCAGAGTCTGAAAGTTTGTAGGTGGTTAAGTCTGCAGACATATTTAGCATATCCTACCCAATATTTTACTGATTGGTAAAATTTCACATTAGAACCAGAATTTCCAACTTCTATGAAAAAAGAAAGCAGGATAATCTCACTGGAACTGAGTGGCCACTGCTGCCACCTGAGTGAGGCTTATACACTCCAATTCATCCTCCGCCTCACCACAGCCTTATCCCTGGTCTCCATCACTTCCTTACACGTTTGCATTCTACATGCTTTCACATGTGAAAAATCATGCCTATTCTGCAAGACCTAATTTACTTTCTCAAGGCTCTGACTCCAGCAGAAAGCAATTATTCTGAAAGGCTTTTGGTTTTGTTGTAAATGGTATAGCAACAAACTTGTTCTTTAGAAATCTGGTGTGCTTTACATATAGTAACCTTCAAATATTTGGGAGAATGAGTAAGATTTCTGCTACATAGAAAACTAACACTCTTGCATTCTGTGAAGGGAAGAAGACTTCCCATACAATCTGACATTTGTAAGTGACTTGCATTTCCTAATAATCTAACAAATTTAGGCCAAGTATTGAAGCCAATATAAGACTTTAAGATATATGGAAAAAAACCCCAAACTGCTTTGCCAGAAAACAAAAACAAAAAAAACCCCAAACCAAAAAACTCGAATGCTTTATTTTATATAAATGGAATCAAATTGCTTGGGCTCAAATCCTGGTTGCCTTAAAAGCTGAGTGATCTTAGACAAGTTCTTTAATCTTCCCATTTGTTGGCAACCTCATATGTAAATGAGAATAAAATATTATCTGTCTCGAATGACTTTAAATGAGCTTTTTGGAAAGTTACTATTCCTTTTAGAAATATGGAAGTTAGTCACCACCTCTCCTATAAAGCATTTGGCCATCCCATATCACATTTAGGAGAACGAATTCTTGGTAAGGTATCTATAAATCATTGGCCAATAATGTGCTTTGTAAAATTTCCCTAGAGGATACTTTTTTTTAGGTATGCTATATGTATTTTTAGACACACAGGGACTAGTTAGCATTATCACTTCCAGAAGATTTTATTATATTTCCTAACACAAGACTAATTTTCCAATTTGATCTAACTCTTTTGTTGAAAGACTAAGTAAATTCATATTTGATTTTAACTGTTGTAAGTCTTGGCAGATAAATAATTTTTCAGTGAATACTGATCTGCATGCATATGTTTTTAATAAGTGATTCCAACCCAGAAGAGACAAAGACTCAAAAACAAAACCCATGGTGTTAGGGCCATTTCCCAAGTATTTTAAATCATGACTCCACGATCCAGGTTCCACTGCACATGTATAAGTAAACAGTATTTCAGAGATGACTTCCCGGTTTTTCCCACTTGCCCTTAGAAAAAGGATAAGATGTTACCATTGATGTAGGCACACTGGTTTTCCCTCAAGATTCTTTCAGACTTCTTCATCATCTCATTGGCTTTTTTGTCAGGCCAGGCAAATAATGTCTCCTTGAGATTTCCCTGTAGCATCTTCAGAAAGCAGTGGGAGTCGGTGTGATCATGGATACTGCTATATATATACAAAATGATAACTGAACTCAGTAGATAGTCTAGTATGAGGCCTGCAGTCTCCCAGGCAAAATTGCATTTCATCCGGATTTTTAGAAATGTCAACAATGTTTAGGGCAAAGTAATAAAATATCAACCATATCAATTCATAAAAAGGGTACAGTTTTAAATAACAGTTTAAAAAAAATTTTGTTGTAATACTACTTTGATAAAAGAAACAAAACCAGTAACATTTTATCTTCTCCCAAATACAACTTTTAATAACTCACATAAGCTGGGTCAAAATTAGATTAGGAGAGTGCATTAGAAACATTTTAGAAGGGATATAAAGATAATCATTTATAATAATTGCACCACACTAAGATCACAATGTTTTTTCCCAAGGCTTTTTCTTCCTTTTCCTTCCTTTGGGGGTTGAAGTTGGGAGAGAAAGCCTATGTATGCCTATTACCATCCTAAAGTTATACTATATATATAATGCTAACATTTTGTAGATTTAGAGTGCCCTACCTGTGCTACCTCCCAATACTGGTAGGAGAAAGGAAGTAAATTGGATTTGAGGTAAGAAAAGCTTTATTAAGGTAATCCTGGAGTAAAGTGTTCTTAAGTATATGAAGTAGTAGTGTTTGCAGGATTGATTAAAATATATGCATCTGTAGACATTTATTTCATATGTTGATTTATTAACCTATATGTACAATAAGAACATCTTATATCCTAAATCCACAGAACCTAGTTCTACTCCTGACGTATAACCTGCTTTCAAAAATATTAAGAGAATGAACAGAAATAATTCCATTCCATTTGAATAAATAAATGTACTCTATAAACCAAACTTTCTAAAGCCTTGTCAGTTTATGTTTCCTTTATCTCACACACAAAAAAATGGATCTGATTATTTTTACCATTCTCAAAAGACTGAAAAAGATATGCTAAAAAGATACCAGGTTGGGTGCAGTGGCTCATGCCTGTAATCCCAGTACTATGGGAGGTCAAAGGGGAGGGTCATCTGAATCCAGGAGTTTGAGACCAGCCAGGGCAACACAGCAAGACCCTATCTCTACAAAAAACAATTAGCCAGGTGCGGCAGTATGTGCCTGTAGTCTCAGCTATTCAGGAGGCAGAGGCAGGAGGATCCCCTGAGCCCAAGTGTTGGAGGTTACAGTGAGATATGACTGTGCTGCTGCACTTCAGCCTGGACAAAGTAAGACCATGTCTTAAATAAACACAAAGATAATGATACTCAGTTGGTAATAAGAGTGGCAAATATACAAACTCAAGACAAGATAAGGAACCAACTTATTTCAAAGAATCAGTTTAAGTTGCCTTCTAGATAAATAAACTAAACAATTAACTTAAAGTAGAAAGAAATTTTCTGATTTTGTGCAATGCTTTTCTAGCTTCAAATTCCCACACTTTTGTTTTTTGGTGTCACAGTTGTTTACACAACTTAAATGCCACAAAGGTCAAGTTTAAACACAATTCCATATAAAATGTAACTCCATAGAAGACAAAGAGTGAGGTTAAGTTAAGGTGGTTACTTATCACATTTGATTCACTGTTCATTTTGGTGACTTGTTTTAGTTTGTGTGTTGTATGCCTAAACTCCCTAACCTAATTTTTATGAGTTTTTTTTGTAGGAATTAGGAAACATTGTGAACAAATAATTATAAAATGAGATTTGTTAGTATGTATAAGACTCGTGGTGGGCCTGACTCTGTACTTTCACATGCTGGAAAAGATATTCTCATAAATCTCTGTGACAGAATAGTTGTCTTACCTGCCATGTCCTTCACCCCAACACAGAATCATCAGATTAAATTTTCCATTTCCTTGATCCACAAGATTTCGGGTATACCTAGAAAAAGACCATATTTCAGAAGTTTGAAGTTGGCTGCTGAAACAAGCACTGGGAAAAATAAGTGTGTCACAAGATACCATTCATTCACAAATGTATTTCCACAACTAAGCAACTTTGAATTCAGTGTTCTAATTAGAAATCCAGCATAAATGAAAAATATTTTTCAGAGTTCATTTAGGATATTTCTGTATTTTGAATCACTGCATTGATAGAGGTAGCTGCCCAGTTTTAATTAAGGGCATGGGGAAGGGGGGGGTGGGAATTCTGTTTTTCATTGTAACAGCCTCAAACTGATAAAAACCAGTGTGTTTCTCAGAGAAAGTATTTGCAAAGTGCATTACTGCTCCAGGCAAGAATGTTGCTATTGTTGTCCCCCACCCCACTGCCTGTAACTAAACCAGGACTTGAGAAAAAAGGTTTCATTAAATAGCTGTTCTAGAATTCTTAACTTTACTAAAGACAAAAAATGCAAACCACATTCAAAATCACTAATAATGAAAAGTCCTCCACAAATGGGGAGAGGGCTATCTAAGTACTCAAACAAGGCAGATTACATTAGGGATGTAAAGAACACTCTCTAAACTTTATAATTAGGAGAAACCAGTAATTGGCAAACAAACAAAAACAAACACACCCCACCAAACCACCACCATAACCATATGGGGGTGGAGAGGAGGGGTGAAGGGGAATCAACTTTAAAGTTTCTATTGGTCAAAGGGATACTATTGACATAATTTGATTAGCAAAGGTTAATGATTAGACATTCATCTAGACTGTCATTTTAAAGGAAAGGGGTCTTTGTTGTTGTGTAGCCTTTGTTACCTTCTCTTGTCCAGCATGCTCCTTCAATCCTGTCCTTTCCTCTCCTCCCCCTGGTGCTTGCTGAGCATAATCCTTGCACCAGTTGCTTTGTAAGTGCTTTGTGATTGATTACTTTGTGGCTGGTTATGACCTAGCAAGGAACTGTGCACACAACCTTAAATTCACAGTAAACTGGGTTCCTGTACCAGCTTAATTCTCACTCCACCAGTCTTAGGGTAATCTCTCCTGCTTCTTGGGGCTTCTTACAGAGAATTTATTGCCTAGCCCACACTGAAACATATTCTAATCTTGGTTCTTCTGCGTTGGTCCTCCCAAAGTCAAAGATCAGAACCCTTCACTGGGAGAAGCACTTTCCTATTCTATGCACAAAATAATATAGAATTGATTTCTGCTCTCCCATCTCCTTCCCTCCAACTGCCCGCTCAGGACAACACTGTTATCTTATTGAGCTGTGCCTCAGATTAGATCAGTTCAACGGGCTGCATTTCAAAAGGTTTAGAGTTTATCAAACAAGACTAATTAATTCAAAGAGCTGTTGCAACCCATCCTGGTTGATTAGTTGCACATGGCCAACAGTTTATCTAGTCAGAAGAAAGCTACTAAGGTGTCCTAAGTCTGGAAGTTTTGTAGCGCAGGCTCTGGAACAATAATGTTCATTTGAACCCTGGGGCCTCTACTGAATTTCAGAAGAGCCTGTGCAGGTCATCCGACCTCTTCATTGCCTACCACTCTTCACCTGTAAAACAAGGAGAATAATGATATCTATCTCCCACATGTAAAGAGATTGGAAAAGTACCTGGCCCGTCACCAAGTCCTCAATTGCCTGTAGCAAATGCAGGAAATTGAAAAACTAGACTCTCCATAGCTTTGACAGCCACAAAAGGGCTTTACCATGAACTGAGTCGATAGGAAGCTAAGGAATTTCCTCAAGTCATTTGCAAATAAAAAAATGGGATCCTATGTGGACTTCACTTTTTCTATTTCAAATGCTAAAATACAGTTGAAAAGTCCCCTGACAACAAAACTTTACCAAACACCCTACAGGTTGAGGAGGGGTGATGAATAGAAACTGCTCCCTCCCCCAAAACAAATTTAATCATTTCCTGATTATTTTCTTTCAGTTATCCCACGCTTCCAACCCTCAAACCAACAAGCCACAAAGATGGAATCGCTGGCTGCCCTTTGGAAAAAGCAGACCCTCTCACCTTTCAGGAGATTAAATTTTTTCTCTCTGGCCCTAGAGGATTGGTAGATTCATTTTTATTTAATCACCAAGCCAGGGTTTAAAAAAGAAAAAAAAAAAAGCCAGCCTACCAGGACCTCTCACTCAAGCACCTCTGGAAGTAGCGGTCTTTTACTTCAAAACCACAGAACCAAGCACAAAAGAAATCAGATCGTCCGAGGGGTGAAAAACCCGCTGTCGTGTATTTAATTTGCGAAACCTGGCAGCGGATTTAAATAAACCTGCAGGCGGGGAGGTGAGCTGAACTGGTTTAGAAGAGGGAACAGCAGAAATTGAGAAGTGGCAGCTGACAACCCCAGGGCGCTAATTTACAGGAGTAAACATGCCTGTGGGAAGGTGCCTGGCTGTAGGCGACCGACAGCGCCGTAATGGGGAGCCGACGTCGGGACATCGTGTCCTCCACCATCACCCTGTCTCCGATGCGGGTCTCTCCGGGAGCACCCTCCGCTAGTCTAGCCAGGCAGTTCCTGCAGGTGCCTCTTCCCGCACCTCGCACCCGCGGTTGACTGTGGCTCAGGAGAGGAAAGTGTGCTCCGAGGTCGCAGCCAGCAGGAGTGGTGGTTGGGAGCAGAGGAGAATGCAGGCGAGGAAAGAACAACCCGCGGCCGCGCCGTGGCCTCCCTTTCCAGGCGCTGCCCCCAGCGGTCTCTCCGGGCCCCCGGGCCCGCCAGCCGGATCCACCTCCCGCAAGTGCGGAGCGCCTGTCACGCAGCCAGCCAGCGAGGGGGCGAGGGGCGGGCGCAGCGGCCCGGGCGGCCCCCTAAACCAGGCTGCCTTGTCTACGCGCTCCCCGCGCTCCCCGCGCTCCCTCCTCCTCCGACCGGGGAAGCGGGCACCCTTGGCTTTGAGACTAGAACGCGCTCACCTGTACTGGTCGAACTTGGCGTACACCGCCCACTCGGCAGGGTCGCTCTCGTAGGCTTCCATGACGGCCTGCACCTCCTCGACATTGACCTCGTCGCCGGCGAAGAGCTGGTGCAGCATGCGAATCAGATCGGTCAGGGTCCGCGGCTTCAGCACCTCCGTCTGCTCCATCCCGCGCGGAGCTAGCGGCGCGGGCTTCCCTGCTGGGCTGCGGCTGGGGAGCTGAGCGAGCCGAGGAGCCCGGGGCGAGAGAGTCTCGCAGCCGGGTCGCAGCTGCACGCACGCCCCCTAGACACCCGAGCGCCAAAACCTAAGGAAGCCCTGGCAAAGCTTGCAAGAGACCCACACCCGGGAGGTGGATCCCGGCTCACCGGAGACCAGCCGCGCGCACAAATCAGGACCAGCTGAGCGGGACGCCGCCGCCCGGGCCCCTTTTAAGCTCTCGGAGTCAGCGGGACCGTACCAACAACCTCGGGGGGTGGGGCGGGGCGGAGAGCGCCCGGAGAACTCGGCGGAGGCGGGGAGAGCGCGTGGGCCAGGCCCCCACACACTGCCCGGCTCCCCGGGGCTCCGAGCCTCCACAGGAGTCCCAGTGTCGCCGGTGTCCCGGCGCTCGCGGCGGGCTCCGTGCAATCTCTCCCCCATGTTAACGGCGCGCTTTGGCCGCCCGTCCTAACCCCTCTCCCCGCGCCACCTCCGCCGCCGAGGTTCGCGACGCTGGGACGTAGACAGAAAGAGTCGGGAGGCGACGGCCGGGGGGACCGCGAGGAAGGACGGGGGCGAAAAGGGAAGGAGAGGAGCCCTGCCTTCCAAACAGAGCTGAGGAGTTGTGAGGAGCCTGCGAAGACGAAGGGTGGATTCCACTCCCAGGCTACAGAGCGATCGTTTAGTCGATTGAAACTATCCATAATATGCTCTAAGCTAGGCGAAAATAAAGGGAACAAATGAATGTAGTGTATTGTACGTACCTTTTGAAAAAGGATATTCGGGTATCGAGTAAGACGAATTAGTGAAAGGATGGAAGACCAGGTATTCCAGGCTCTGATTTTAAAATAAGACATTTTCTAAAAAATATCCGGGGCGAAGAGCCTGATGTTTTCCATTGAAGGCTTAAAAGGGTTTTTTATTTATTTTTTTGAGTGGAAGGAGGTTCTTCACGCAGTAATTTAATAGGTTCTAATTAGATTAGTTGAATCCTTCAATCGTAGTTAGGCGTGTGCTTGAAGGAGCCTCCTGGTACATACGTGTAAAGGAAACACATTTCTATTGTGCTTAGAATCTTAGCAGCCAGGCACCTTCCAACAGGCATTTTTATTCCTGTAAAATAGCGCCCAGGGGTTGTCAGGGGCTACTACTCAATTTCTGCTGTTTCCTTTCCTAAACCAGTTCAGCTAACCTCCCTGCCTGCCGGGTTTATTTAAATTTGCTGTTGGGTTTCCCAAAATAAACACACCTAGCACACTTTGGGAACAGCACAAATTAAATACAGGAAGATTTAAATGAGAAAAATGTGAAAGACTGAAGAAATGTAAGTAGAATCCTTCCTTCTCGTTATAAATGGACTCAGAATAATTTTAAATTCAAGGTTATTGAAGGTCTAGACTTCTGGAAGACTGGTGTTTTTTCTATACTTTAAACCCTCTCCCCCACTCCCCATGTGTGGGTCTGTTTCTCTTCCTATATACAATAAAATTTATTTGTGCCATGTACAGTCAAGCATCCCTGGTTAAATTTATTATATTATAAATAGTCTGTAATGGTTACAGAAACTAGCTCAATCATCATTTTCAAAACAGAATACAGGTAGGAAGCACTTCAGAAGCCAAACTTTGTGCTGACTTGCTGAGAGGTGGTTAATTAACAAAGCATTTGGGACAAAGTAACATACAGTTTTCATTGTTTACTCAACTTTTTTTAATTGTCAATGTTTTCTATATAGTTTTTTAGTCAATTTCAGCTAGTTTAATCCATGAATATTTAAATGAGCAAAAATAAAATACAAGATTATTAATCTCCACATTTCATCTGGCACATCTACATTTTTCTGACAACTCATTTTCTTTCTCTGACTTTTCTTCTTATCTTCAAGAAGTATCTTTCCTAATATAGTCATATAGATATTTTTATTGTCTCTTCTCTAAATTCCCTCCTCCCCCCGTGCTCACGATTTTGTGATCATCTCTACAAGGATGCCTCCCACAATTCTCTAATTTTATATGCTGAGTGCAATCTCTAACACCTTTTGGCACCTCAAATGCAGTATGTCTGAAACTCCTTTCAAGACTGCTCTTCAACTCCTAGAAACTCTTTCTGCAGTGACATACCTGAGATCAATCAAAGACTTCCCTGACTGCTGCTTTCCTTGCATCATTCTGCAGAGCCCTTTCAGCCAATTACCAAATTTTGCATCTCCATATCTCATTTCTTCTCCTTACTATTATTATTGCTACTCCATGTATTCAAGCTTCTCTTTTGGTAGGATGATTGTACTGGCCTCCTAAACTAAACTCCTTGATTTCAGCCATTCCCCATGTGAACCTTTATTCACAAATGCTTGATTAATTACCATAAAGCACAAAAATGATTGTTTCCTGGTCACATACTTTCAGTAACTCTGACTTTTCTACACAATAGGTTTTGTCAGCCTGACATGTAAAGTTATCCATATTTTGGTTCTCAATTACTTTCGATCTTTTACCCTTTCTGTTTTTATCAAATTGAATTAGTTACCATTATGTGTGCTTACCAAAGCTATGATTTTAAGCTTTTCCTTTTGCTTAAATTCTAGAAGCAGCTATTTAACATGTCCAAATCTTATTTTAAGGTCTAGTTCTTGCTTTCCTTTCAAATGAGCCATCTATCCTCCTCCTGAACAACTGAAGCAATAATCACTTACGGCACAATTTCTTAGCATGCATTGCAATTACTTATGTAGGATCACCTTGACAGTGAAAACCTTTAAGATAGGTTCCTTTTATATTCTATTTTTATATCCCTATCAGTGCCTAACACACAGTGCTTTGTGCAGATTAGGTGCAAATAGAAATATTTCTCAAATACATGCATGGCTGATGAAGTTAGAAAAGCACGTTAGCTACAATAATTCAATTAGTGTTTCTTTAGGAATTCTGGAGTTGTGATTTCAAATCCAGCAAAGACTTGCTTTTCTGTTTCTCTGCCAAAAAAACCAAAAAACAAACAAACCAGAATTCTTCCAGGAAGAGTTGCACATTGTAACCCAACTATAGTCATTAAAAAGTTATTGACATTATAGTCTCAATTTACGTAAGTAGAATACCGAAATCCAGAGAATTAGCTCTACTGTACTCTGAATTATTCAGAACAATGATGGTCACATTTTAAGACAGACATTGACACAGGGATAGATATCCAGAGAAGGGAACTAGAATTATTAGAGGTCTGGAAATATTTCTTTATCCATACATCCAACACATTTTAAAAAGCATATACTACATGCCAGGCACTGCTCACAAAATTAAGTCACTGTCCTCAGAGGGCTTTCATTCTAATGGGGGCTGGGTGAGTAGGGACACACCAACAAATATTGTATGCAGTATACATGGAGAAATGGACACAAATACTGTAAACAATATACAATGGAGAAAAATTAAGCAGGAGAAACTAGATATGCAGTGGCCATTTTTAAGGGAGTTTAGGGGAATGCTTACTATCAGTGATATTTGAGCAAGGACTGAGGATCTTGGCAAGACATTTTCTGGGGCAAAGTCCTGGGACTAAAGCAACTTTAGTGTTTGAATAACAGTACTGGTGAACACACATGTGGGTGGCAGAATGTAGGGAAGTGGGAACTATAGATCATATAGGCCACTGCAAGGCAACTTAAGGACTTCAGTTTTTCCTCCAATGTGGAAAGGCACTGGTGTATTTTGGGGAAGAGAGAGCAGGTATGGAGGAGCCAATGAGTTAGCTATTATAATTCGTGTGGGAAAAAAATATGTACATGATGATGGCTTTGTGAGAGTGGTAGGAGATAAGAAATGGTTGGACTCTGAACATGTTTTGAAGATAAAGCTCTCAGGATTTTACATTTTAATGGATATACAAGTTATACATACTTATGACTTACATGTGAAGTTTTGATACAAGCATACAATGTATAATAATCAAATACCCATCACCTCAAGCATTTATCAAGTTATTAACATTCCTTTTATTTTGAAATATAAATTATTAACTATAGACATCCTATTGTTACTCAACTTTTTTTCCCTTCTACCTGTATGTTTTGCTCCCATTAGCCAGCCCCTCTTTATTTCCCCCTTCCTGGCCTCTGGTAACCTCATTCTACTGTCTCCATGAGTTCAGTCTTTTTATTCCCATGTGAGAACAGGTGATATTTCTTTCTGTGCCTGGCTTCTTTCACTTTACACAATGTCCTCCAGTTCCAACCATGTTGCAAATGACAGGATTTCATTATTTTTTACAGATGAATATCCCATTGTAGTTATGTACCACATTTTCTTTATCCGTTTATTCAGATAGACATTCAGGTTGATTCCGTATCTTGGCTGTTGTGAATAATGCTGTAATGAACATAAGAGTGTAGGTATTTCAATATACTCATTTCCTTACTTTTGGATATATAACAAGCAGTAGGATTGCTAGATCCATGGTAGTTCTTAGTTTTCTGAGAAAGGTCCATATTGTTCCTAATAGTGGCTGTACTAATTTACATTCCCATCAATAGTGTAGGTGGGCTCTCCTTTCTCCACATCCTTGCCAGTATCTGTTATTGCTTGTCTTTTGGATAAAAACTTTTAACTGGGGTGAGATGATCATCTCATTGTAATTTTGATTTGCGTTTCTCTGATTAGTGATGATGAACACCTCTTCACATACCTGTTGGCCACTTGTCTTGTTTTCTGAGAAATGTCTATTCAGATCTTTTGCCCATTTTTTTTTTCTTCTTCTTCCAGGGAAATAGAATTTAATTCACAAAATTCAGTTTGTTACGGCCTGAACATTTCTGTGCTATAAAGCAAAGTACTCTTGAGCATCAGGCTATTTTTTAAGTAGTGGTAGAGTACCAGCTGAATATTTTAAAGATGTGGGGTGTAAGTCAGGATTAGGTACATATGTGATCTATGTACAGGTGAAGTTTGGGCCTCCTAATGGTCCTAACATCACCTGGTTTAGGATCAGGTACTCTTGGTGATGTTATGTGCCCTTTCCCCCTCCCCTGGCAGTGTCCTGCTACTGCCAATCCCTTTCTTGTAGTATTATGTTTAGGGTCCACTGATGAGTGAGAACATGTGGTACTTGGTTCTTAGTTTCTGTGATGGATCACTGAGTGTGATAGACTCTAAATCTGTACAAGTTGCTGCAAAGTCCATCATTTTGTCCTTTATGGCTGTGTAGTATT